TCTAATCCTAGCACTCTGGGAGGCCAAGCCTAAGCCAAAGCAAGACCCCATCTCTAAAAATAGCCAGGTGTCGTAGTGAGCGCCTGTAGTCCCAGCTACTTGGGAGGCTGAGTCAAGAGAATCACTTGAGCCCAAGAGTTTTGAGGTTGCTGTGAGCTATAAGGCCATGGCACTCTACCAAGGGCAACAAAATGAGAATATCTCCAAAAATAAATAAATAAATAAATAAATAAATAAATAAAGGAATACTATAATCATGTGCCAATAAATTAAATAACTTACACAGTTGAACCTTCGGCAACATGGGTTTGAACTATGCAGGTCCACTTATACTTGGATTTTCTTCTGCCTTTGCCACCCCAGAGATGACCAGACAACGTGGATGAAGATCTTTTTGATGATCTACCTCCACTTAATGAATAGTAAATGTATTTTCTCTTCCTTAACAATTTTTAAAAACATTTTCTTTTCTCTAGCTTATTTTATTATAAGAATACTGTATAGTATTCTTGGCGCCTGTGACTCAAGTGGCTAAGGCACTAGCCACATACACCTAAGGTGGTGGGTTCAAATCCAGACCAGGTCCGCCAAACAACAATGATGGTTGCAACCAAAAAATAGCCAGGTGGTGTGGTGAGCGCCTGTAGTCCCAGCTACTTGGGAGGCAGGAGCAGGAGACTTGCTTGAACCCAGGAGTTGGAGGTTGCTGTGAGCTGTGATGCCATGGCACTCTACCCAGGGGGATAGCTTGAGGCTCTGTCTCAAAAAAAAAAAAAGAATACTGTATATATAACAAACAAAAACATGTTAATCAACTCTTTATTTTATTGGTAAGGTTTCTAGTCAACAGTAAGTTATTAGTTGTTAAATCTTTGGAGAATCAAAAGTTATGTGTGGATTAGAGTGTGCAGGGGGTCAGTGCCCCTGCTGTTTAAGAGTTAACTGTATTTATTGGTGGACAAATTCCTGGAGGCTGCCCAAACTGATTCAAGAAGAAATAAAGAATCTGAATAGAACTAAGTAATAAGTAAAGAGATTGAATTACGATTTTTTTTTTTTTTGAGACAGTCTCACTATGTCCCCCTGGGTAGAGTGCTGTGACATCACAGCTCACAGCAACCTCAAACTCTTGGGCTTAAGTGATTCTCTTGCCTCAGCCTCCCAAGTAGCTGGGACTACAGGTGCCCGTCACAACACCCGGCTAATTTTTTGTTGTTGTTGTAGTTGTCTTTGTTGTTTAGTAGGCCGGAACTGGGTTTGAACCCGTCAGCCCCAATGCACATGGCCAGTGCCCTAACACTGAGCATGGGTGCCAAGCCAGGAAATTGAATTATTAATCAAAAACTACCCATAAGGAGCTCAGGTGGCTTCACTGGGAAATTCTTCTAAACATTAAAAAAAGAAAATAACACCAATCCTTCAATCCTTCAACTCTCCCAAAAAATAGAAGAGTAGAGAATACAGTCTAACTCATTAAATGATGGCAATATTACCCTGATGCCAAAAGCAGACAGATGCATCACAAGAAAATTATTGGCCTTATGAATGTAGATATAAAAATGCTCAGCAAATTAGCAAACTTCAGTTGTTTATAAAAAAGTATTCATAGGCTAGGCTTGGTGGCTTACGCCTATAATCCTAGCACTCTGTATTCAGGGTGGTATGCCTGTATACTCTGGGAGGCAGAGGCAGGTGGATTGCCTGAGCTCATGGGTTCAAGACCAGCCTGAGCCAGAGTGAGACCCCTGTCTCTAAGGCACTGTGGCGGGCACCTGTAGTCCCAGCTACTTGGGAGGCTGAGGCAAGACAATCACTAGAGTCTAAGAGTTTGAGTTTGCTGTGTGCTGTGATACCACGGTACATTACCAAGGGTGACAAAGTGAAATCCTGTCTCAGAAAAAGAAAAGTATTCATTTCAGGAATGCAAGTCTAGTTTAACACAGAATAATCAATTAATGTTACAATCTGCCTTCATAGAATAAAGGATAAAAATCACATAATTATCTTAATAGAGGCACATAAAAGCATTTGACAGAATCTAATCTTTCATGTTAAAGAACACTCAACACAAACAAGGTGTGAGAGGGAGCTTCTCAACCTAATAAAGGACAACAATGAAAAATGCACAGCTAATATTATACTTAATGGTAAAAGACTGCATGCTTTCCCCTAAGATCAGGAAGATGACAAGGTTTCCTGCTCTAACCCATCTGTTCATCTTTGTGCAGAAGGTTCTAGTCAGAGCAATTAGGCAAGAAAAAGAAAAAGAAAAAAAGATTAGAAAGGAAGTAGTAAACTTTTAGAGATAATAATAAGTTCTGCAAGATGGCAGGTTACAAGATACAGAAGTGAATGTCTATTTGCTAGTAATGAACAATTCAAAAATGAAATGAAGGGTATACAGGCATACCACCCCGAATATGCCTGATCTCAGATTATCTTGTAAGCTAAGCAGGGTCAGGCCAGGTTACTACTTGGATGATGAGACTGCTTGAGAATATCAGGTGCTGTAGGCTTAAAAAATCAAAAACCAACTGGGCGGTGCCTGTGGCTCAGTGAGTAGAGCGCTAGCACCATATACCGAGGGTGGTGGGTTCGAACCTGGCCCTGGCCAAACTGCAACCAAAAAATAGCCGGGCATTGTGGCGGGCACCTGTAGTCCCAGCTACTAGGGAGGCTGAGGCAAGAGAATCGCTTAAGCCCAGGAATTAGAGGTTGCTGTGAGCTGTGTGATGCCACGGCACTCTTGATATATATAGTGAGACTCTGTCTCTACCAAAAAAAAAAATAAAAATAAAAAAACAACTAAAAAGTCCCCTAAAACCCAATTGTACCAAAATAAAATGAAGACATACCATTTACAGTAGTATCAAAATACTAAAATATCTAGAAACAAAACAAAAGAATTATTAATTGGTCATAAAATGACTGCTAAAAACCCCAAAACAAACACAAACAAAGTGTTAAGAGTTGTACAGTGAAAACTACAAAACATCATTGAAGGAAATTAAAGATCTAAATAAGTGAAAAGAGCCAGGCACTGTGGCTTCCACCTATAATGCTTTGGGAGGCTAAGGGAAGATCAGAGGATTGCTTGAACTCAGGAGTTTGAGACCAGCCTGAGCAAGGTCTTATCTCTGCTAAAAAGAGAAAAATTAGACAGGGTGGTATCGTGGGCCTTCAGTCCCAGCTACTCAGGAGGCTGAGGCAGGAGAGTCCTGTCAGCCTAGGAGTTTGAGGTAGGTTGCAGTGAGCTATGATGCTGCCACTGCACTCTAGCCCAGGCAGCAGAACAAGACTCTGTCTTCAGAAAAAAAGAAAGAGAGAGAAAGAAAGGAAGGAAAGAGAAAAGGAGAAGGGAGGGGGAGAGGATGGGAGAAGGGAAAGGAAGAAGAAAAAAAGAAAAAAAAGGAAGTGAAAAAACATTCTGGGCTGGGGCCTGTGGCACAGTGGTTAGGGCACCAGCCCCATATACCAAGGGTGGTAGATTCGAACCTGGCCCTGGCCAAACTGCAACAAAAAAATAGCCAGGCATTGTGGTGCACACCTGTAGTCCCAGCTATTCGGGAGGCTGAGGCAAGAGAATTGCCTAAGGCCAGGAGTTGGAGGTTGCTGTGAGCTGTGATGCCATAGCACTCTACCAAGGACAATAAAGTGAGACTCTGTTTGTCTAAAAAAAAAAAAAATTCTGTGTTTGTGGATAAGAGTTAATATTGTTAATTAATTAAGATGGTAGTACTTCCTAAATTGATCTGTTCATTAAGTACAGTCTTGTCAGAATCCCAGCTAGATATTTGCAGAAATTCATGAGATAATTCTAAAATTCAAAGAAAATGCAAGGGACCCAGAATGCCCACAGTAACTTGAAAAAATAGGAAAAAAGTTGGAGTACTTAAACCTTTTTTTAAAATTTAATTTATTTAGAGATGGAGTCTTGCTTTATCACCCTTGGTAGAGTGCTGTGACATCACAGCTCACAGCAACTTCCAACTCCTGGGCTTAGGTGATTCTTTTGCCTCAGCCTCCTGAGTAGCTGGGACTATAGGTGCCTGCCACAACGCTCGGCAATATTTTTGTTGCAGTTTGGCCAGAGCCAGTTTCGAATCCACCACCTTCGGTATATGGGGCTGGCGCACTACCCACTGAGCCACAGGTACTGCCCAAAGCTCTTGATTTTAAAACTTAACACAAGGCATATAGTAATCAAGACTGATATGAGGAAAGACCATAGGTCACTGAATAGAATTGAGTCTTAAGAAATAAATCTTGGCTTGGCACCTGTGGCTCAAGCGGCGAAGGCGCCAGCCACATACACCTAAGGTGGCAGGTTCGAATCCAGCCCGGACCCCCCAAACAACAATAATGGCTGCAACCAAAAAATAGCCAGGCGTTGTGGCGGGCGCCTGTGGTCCCAGCTACTTGGGAGGCTGAGGCAGGAGACTC